ATCCTACATACCATATATATACTCAAATGAAAAAACAAAACGAAGTAGATTTATATAAGATATATTCACCCTATTTCGCTTACGCTGACAAAGGATTGGTAGTGGAATTTTCATACAATGATACAAGTAATGTAGTCGACTGTCATAGCAAAAATAACTTTGCTTCATCGATAATCCCATCAAAGAATGTAATATAGAAAAATGTCTGATCTTCCTTGAAATTCACATCTGCCCCATCATTGATAGTAGCAGCTTTTGGGAAAGCACAGCTATGTGAACTTCATTGGTAACGACAACTCTACTGATATCATTGCGGGAGAATTCAACTACCAGTCCTTTATCAGCTTAACCAAAATAGGGTGAATGCATCGCTTATAATAGATTTACTTGTACTCTCGAATACCTACTTTTAAACTAAAAATATATCGAGATTGTTTGACCTTGTTTTCACAACTTGGTCATATTGGTAGTAAGACTTAGAGGAACGCATCTAATCCGGAGTCTATTGTATGCATCATCATTTCGAGAGTAGGACTGTGGACGTGGTACATTCCCAGACGTTTCACCGGCATTGTCACTTGTGGTATCTCCCCTTTTGTCCTGGGCTATTCACATTTCCCATACCCTCCTACCACAGCTTCATTGTTACAATTTGTACCGTGCTTATTTCAATGTAGTGTGGTGTGCTCCTTTGAGCAGCATTCATGAAAACCCTTCACACTCCACGCTGTTGTTCTCACCCCCTTCACCCCTAGATCTTATCAAAGTCTCTCTCTCTTGCCCAGTAAGATCCGTCTGCTCTCTCCCTGGTTCACGTATTTCCCTCGACCCCTGCCACCCCATCTGTGCTACTCGAAGCGTTATTACCCCTCCCCTGAGTCTGGGTGACTAATTCGAGGCTCAAGCCTCTGAGTAAATCTGATCGTCAAGCCCTTGCTACATGAACCACGTCTATGGTACAACAGACCTACACTCAGCCAACATTCTCCGTCGGGTCTATACAGCTTCTATCCCTAATACCACGTCTATGACTTCCTATGCCCCAGTCTCTTGTGCGCCAACCCACAAATGTTGTTATACTGCTTGCTTTGATTATGTTCAATGTTGAACCACAACGTTTGTAGGTTTGCACACCCTAATCAACCTAATCAAAAGCATGCAGTACCACAACATTTTTGGGTTGGCACACAAGAGACTGGGGCATAGGAAGTCATAGACTTGGTATTTGAGATAGAAACAGGATAGATGTGGCGGAGACTGGACCTAGTTGGCTGACAGTAGGTCTGTTGTACCATAGACGTGGTCCATGTAGCAAATACTTGACGATGAAACTTACTCAGAGGCTTGAGCCTCGAATTAGTCACCCAGACGCAGGGGGAGGGGTAATAATGCATCGAGTAGCACAGATGGGGTGGCAGGGCTCGAGTGAGATATGTGAACGAGGGATATAGCAGACGGATCTTACGGGGCAAGAGAGAGACTGTGCTAAGACCTAGGGAAGGAGGACTGAGTAACAATATGGCAGACTGATAAACATTCCCAGCTCACGTGTGAAGGGGTTAGAACGACAGCGTAGAGTGTGAAGGATTTTCATGAATACCGCCTAAAGGAGCACACCACACTACATCGAAATAACTACGGTACAAATTGTAACAGTGGCGGTGTGATAGGAGGATATAGGAAATGTGAATAGCGCAGGGCAGAAGCACACGTTTGGCCAAATGATCGGTTTCACTTGTCTCTGACGCGTTGTAGTTTGGTGTTAAGAATGATAATACTCATTGACGATGCCGACGAAACGTCTGGGAATGTACCAGTCCACTGTCCAACTTTGGAAATGATTATGCATACGATGGACTCCGGACTTGGTGCGTTCCTCTAAGTCTTTCTACCAATATGACCAAGTTGCGAAAACAAGGTCAAACAACCTCTATATAACGAAAGAAGACTGCGACCACACAAAAGGCCATACCATCTTGGTCTTCATACTTTCGATAAAAATATATAGATTTAGATGTATTTAAATGTCTCTGTTTGTGCATGTATTAAACGTGTGCATTTCGTATGATAGTGTAGAAGGAAGAGATTCGTACTCAGAGCAGTTACTCTGATTTATAACCCCTATTGCGTACACACAGAGATACTTCAGTAAAAGTACCATGACTAATTTGAAAGAGAAACAAGCAAATTCTTATATCTCAATTTATATCTATAAATTTAGCTTTTTTATTTATGAGTATTCATAACATGTTAAATAGAGCCGGATAGCCTTCATGACGTTGTGTTAACTTGAGTTTTTTGTAAGATTGTCTCACGAATCTTTTCTTCACGTACTTTCTTACGAAAGTAAAGTCTTCACGACAACGAAGAGAGTTATGCACTTTGCTGGCACTTCAGTGAATATCTTGTCTTACTCCCTCCACTTCATGCCTTCAAATGTACCCACGCAACGAAACACAGTCAATCTCTCCCGATCGTGCTCCTATTTCTGGCCATTCCATTGGACGGTCTTCATCGCAGGAACTCGACCACGAGGTTTCCAGGCTGGATGGTCTCTTTGAGGCCACTCCCAGGACTCGTAGTCAAGATTCCAATTCTGCCCTGATCGCGGTCTCCGTTGCCGAGGAGGGCGGAGACACTGGCGTCCTCCTCCGCCAACCCTACAGCAGGCAGCTGGCCTCCAGTCCCTACGAATGTGAGACGTCAGACGGCCATCGAGCCTTCTTTGCAGTCACCGAGGCGACAAATGAGGCCGTCAACTCGTGTCTGGCGTTCTCGAGCCCGGGCTCTGCACAGACGAACCGATCCGGTCTTGGACCGGCTGGTTGCGGTGACAGGCCGATCGGACGGCCCGAATGTCGACCCACCGGATTTGCTTCTGCCACCAGGTACGGTGGCGCGGCCGACTGACGTCACGTGACGGAAGTGGGCCATCTGCCGGCGGGCCGCTTGCTACCATCGTCAGACAAGAAGAAGGTAGCATATGCGAAGAAAAGTTGGGTTTCGAGGAATATCTTGTTTCATAATTGTTGAGCTCACTTCCATTTCAAGTAAAAGTGTTTGGTGAAAAAATTCGAAGAAGACGACGGCGGATTCCTTTTGACCAGCTGTCAGTTGACTTTACTGGAACATTCTTATGGACGCTGTTTCCGAGGTAGCCTCCTTCGATTCCGCTTGCTACCATCGTCACACAAGAAGAAAGTACACACGAAGAAATGTTGTGCTTTGATAAATCTCTTAGTTTTCCGTTGCTAATTCCAATTCCACTTCGAGTGGAAGTGTTTGGTAAAGAGATTCGAAGGTGAATTCCACCAGAAAACAGCGCCAGATTCCTCTTTAACTGATGTCGATTGGCTCTACGCAGTTTACGAGGCAATTTTCTTCGATTCCGATTAAAACGTGCCAAACTTTCATCTTTCATTATGAAATGGACATCATCAGAGCAGGACATTATTAATACATATTTTTCATTCATAAGTGAGCTTTTGAGATATGGAAAAAAGCCTGGCCTGCTCTTTGGACCTAGGACATTCGTGGCAATGGGACGTAATGGCTAACATGTCAAAATTACACGACACACTTTCATGGTTCGACTCCTGTAGGCGAAATAGAAACTGCACTCCACTTCAGCCTGGACGTGGTGGTGATCATCAAAGCTTGATGGCCGAAAACAAACGTTACTTTTCTGTTCTATTTAATTTGACCCATCACTGCTGGTTTCGTACATATACTAACACCTGAAGGCGCATAGGCACACACACACGCACGTTCTTCGAGGCTGAAATATAATTGAAACCAACTAAATCATTTTTTGAAGATGTGAAGACCAAGATGTTGTGGCCTCGGATATGGTCGCAGTCTCCTTTCGACTTATAGAAG